ATTTGTGAAACGATAAAGTTGTGCACGTAATTATAAAAATTTTTTATTTAGCACCTCCAACAACGAAGAAATTCTAATGCATATCTTTTACTTCATCTGATGCAATATAATTTTTCACTATGCAATATGCTAAATATTTGCTATCCATTATCTGGATTACCATCTTTTTTAGTTTAGCATTTTACTTCATAATCTCAGACGGGACTTTTCATATTAAAAACGTAGAAAATACGACGAATCACACGAATGTAGAGAATACAATGAACTACGAGAATGTAGAGAATACAATGAACTACGAGAATGTAAAGAATACGACGAATCACACGAATGTAGAGAATGTAAAGAATACGACGAATCACACGAATGTAGAGAATGTAAAGAATACGACGAATCACACGAATGTAGAGAATGTAAAGAATACGACGAATCACTCGAATGTAGGGAATGTAAAGAATACGACGAATCACACGAATACAATGAACTATGAGAATGTAAAAAATACGACGAATCACACGATTGTAGAAACGAATCACACGATTGCAGAGAATACGACAAATCGCACGAATGCAGAAAATAGGCCAAATAGTACAAATGTAGAGGATACAGTGAAGAAATATACGGATGTGAACTATTTAGAATTTGACCTAATATATAATAAATATGTTAAGAAACATAATAGAATAGTTTCCAAACTATTAGCCAAACCTAATTCATCAAAACTTCCGAAAGTTGTCGTTGTCCAACCAGACTTGACGCAAGGATTCGGAAACCGCATACCTTCAATGGTTTGTGCTTTTATATATTCACTAATATCTGATAGGTTATTCTTTATTGATGGATATGATAATTTCTCAAGTTATTATGAGAAAGACTTTGAACATGATTGGAAATCGGTTGCAGATATGTATAAAAATAGTACCTCTAGACATTTACATAAGGAAAATAGCTATAATGACTTTCCGTTGGTGGCGAGAGGAAACCTTAGCAACGAGAAAACTGATATTTTATATGTTTACACATGGGATTATGTATGTGCTCCAATAATATCAAATCCTCATTATAAGGAATGGTTTAATAAAGTAATACCTGATTATAAAGTTTTTACAGCAATCAGCCTAAAATTATTAAGATTGCACCCAAATATTAGTAAACAAGTAGAGACTTTTGCGGATAATAATTTTAATGATTATAATATAGGAATTCATTTAAGAGAGAAAAAGAAAACACTTGGATTAATAACAGCTGTGGAACATTACATTGAAGTAGTGAAAATGTTGATGTTAGAAGTGAAAAACAAGAATATAACTATCTTTGTGGCTGCAGATAGTAATGATGGTCGTAAAAAATTAGTAAATTTACTTCGCAAAATAATTACTTATAATAACAATTCTATTAAGATAGTTCATACTGATGATGATATGGATGCACAAAATCCTTTTAATTCGAACACTGGTTCGGAAGTAGGCGCTCTTATCGATATGAAGTTGCTTGGTTTATGTGATGACTTGGTGATTACATATGCTTCTTCATTCGGTTTCGTTGCTGCTGGATGGTCACAAAAAGTGTTTCGTCGTCAAAGAGGTCCATTTGTCGTAATGCCAATAACAAACTCGAGCGATGATTTTTGGACTGCAGATAAAGTTTGGGTGTATGGTGCTATATCGAGCGAGCCTTGCATGTACCTAAGCAAGTGGCTAATTGATCAAGAAGATGAGGAAACCAGTAGTGCTTTTAAGTCCAATCCTTTATGGATTCATTATAGCCAGTGCCATTGGCCGATATAGACAATGAGTGTTAGAATTTTCCGCGAGAAATAAACTTTTATATTCATTATAAAAACTAGATAATTTTAGACGACAAACTGTACGATCAAAATAATGGATCACTAATCCAAATAATTGAAATGACATTTTAAACAATAAAAATTTTATCATCCGGTAATGCCATGTCACGTGCAATATATAACTTCTAATCAAATTACATCAATATTATATTATTCATTTAGTAACGTATTTAATGTATATGTAATATTTTTATACAGTAAAATCTTAATTTGTTACAATTTTAATTATAAGTGAATGAATAGGTTTATAATTTCATAATTTCAATAGTGATTTCATTTAATAATAGATTCACAATTTAGTAATAATGGGATTGTAATTAGACAATGGATAAATTGTAATTTAACAGTAGATTGATTTGCAATTTTCACTGTGAGTTTATAATTTGGCAATAGATAAGTTCAAAATTTTAATAGCGATTAGTAATTTAATAGTAGATAATTTTGTAATTTTTTTAATATTTAAAGGCAAGATCATGTTTCTATCTTATTAAAATTCAATTAAACTTCTTTACAAATTATAAAAAA